CGGCATTGTCAAGTCCCTCCATCCGTGCGTATTTGTCTTCAGCCGCTCGACGTAGTCTCTTTTACATTCAGATGTAGCCCCTCAAAGCAATCTCAATAGCTAACGCCTTTTCTTTCGTCAGCGACCACGTTTAGTTTACGGTATTGAAAAATTGGAGCTGCTACCTCCTCCCCCCGATTTCATACTCTTCACGCGTGGAAAAAATCCAGCTCACGGCTCCTCCTCCCTCCCTGACCTCCACCTCTCCCTTGAAATTATACACATCCAATTTCTAGATTATTTAAGCCATCGCAACTAACCAATTTCGTGTCATCTGCACACATAGTGCTGCCAAGAATATGCCGCATCAACTCTTCTAAATGCTGATTTCCGAACTCACTTCCTTCTTTCTCCTTTCTTTAAGCGCCCACAGTACCTCGTTGTTCCAAAAATTAAAAAAACCCCTGGTTCAAACATCAAACCTTTTGGTATAGAGACCATCGTCAAGCCACCGCGACTGTCTTCCTCTTCGTGTTGTGAGGTCGAATCATCCTCTTCTCTTTTCCGTTTTGTCCCACTACAAATGCATTTATGGAGAATTATAAATAATTGAATTCACGGAGGAGAAAATAAAAAAAAAATGATTTGTTGAGCACAGCCACACCATACCATCCCTGTAGATGGTTCAAAAAACGAAAAAGAAATTAAAGTTTCAAGTTAAATTTCTGTTAGGGTGGCAACAGAAATTTAACTTGAAATTTTAGTCTAGAGACCACTCCTGACGAATAATTATATCGCTGTCGGCTCTCATTTAGATGTGGTACGTATGGATATCACTTATTCGTATGCTCCATTTACCAGCTATCAGTAAATCGGGGCAAACTCATCCCCCCCACCCATTCTGTTGATCCTTCGCCGTATTTCATACGGATGCAGAATGTTGTATGATATTTTCCTGAATTCTTGAAGCTGATGGTTTGTGAGCCCATCGGAACCGAACAAAACATGCAGAGCATCGAAAGGTTCAGGCCGCTGTACGGTACCATTAACTGGTGGCCGGAGAAACTTAGTAATCCCTTGCTGCCCGGTTGCCGGTGCGTTGCCGTACATATGCATTACGCGAACACGTGGAATTTCTCTAAATTCCTCGGCTTATTTTGCGTTTGGAGAAGCAGTACTCGGCCTCCACTGTTAATGTAAGGATTGTTAACTTGTGGATCATACGCCGGGTTTTTTTTTTTT